TTCCCCGTGCGTAGCGGGAGGTGGGTGCCCAGGGAGTTGCGTTCTCCGTGTACAGATCAGTGGAAGGTGGATGTGTGCAAATCTTGTGCTGAGTGCAGTGCAGCTACAGAAATGGGTAATGTTAATAAAAGTCAGGGGGGGGGTTCTCCTCCTGAATTGCTGTCGGGAGTATCTGAAACGTTTGACTGCCTGCACGTCATGCCTGATTCAGGAATAGTGGGAAACATTCTACTTTGGAAATCAGTGTAAAAAGTTACGCTCGGGGCTGAGAGGGATGTTTCCTGACATCAGCTATACGTTCGTTTGATTCACTTAAAAATGCAGGGTTTAAAAGGTTGCAGTGTAAGACAGAAGTTGTGTAGGCAGAGAAGTAAAGGTCTTAATTTGGTGGCTTTGCAGAGTGCTCAAGGATGGGAGATCATAGTTCCTGATAGTGGTATGACCCCACAATAAGAGTTACGTTTTCCGCTGCTTAAATAACTGATAAACTTGAGAGGCATATCTGGGTCAACATAAGGATGATTCTTTTTTAATACAGACTTAATATACTTGGAAGTAGATTGATACTTGAGAGGTTCAAGTGATAATTATATGTAGTGGAAAGACAATAAGTGTTTACTCATATGTACAGGGTTTAGTTGAATGGATCCTCCCACATGTGTAGAAATGTACAGTACCAGGGCCCAAGAATGTTAGCTTTTCAATGCAGTTACGGTTTTCTATGTCTTGTTCAGTCTTGAGCACCTTTGTTAGGTACTAATCCTAGCAAATAAATGGCACTATTTGGAAAAAAAATCAAATATGCTTTACATTGAACCTGATCATATTCCTAAGTGTTCATATGAGCAGTCACTGTAACATTTCTGTTGAAGGTTTCTTTTATTTTTGTGGACTATTTTTTTTTTTTGCCTCCAAATAGAGACATATGTTGAAATAGTAACAGAAGCCAATGTGGTCCAGCACATAGGACAGTAGACTGGGAAACTAGGTGTTGGTTGGCAGGCCATCTACAGCATAGCCTGAAACTAGTCTTAAATTACTAAAATTGATGCAGTGTGATTTGGTATCCGAGTCTGTAGCTCTTTAGCCAGTCAGAATAAATCAGAAAATTCTGATTTTACAGTTTTTTGTATTTCAGAGTCAGAGAGATATGGTGGAGGAGGTTATATCTTTTATTGGACAAGCTTCTGGTGATGAAAGGACTAGCTTTCAGGTTACACAGAGCTCTTTCAGAATAAGGAATTTTGACAAAGTTTATATTTAATGACTTGTTTACATCACTGATGAAAAATGATAGTTATCATTAGTCTCTCAGACCTAAAGAATTCTGGGCTTCTCTCTCCCACACTTCAGCTACTGGATTAATCAACAATGCTGAAACTATTGTAGGCATTCAATGCAAAATCATTAGGGTTTTGTGTTACAATTTAATTGTGAACAATGGTGTTTGCATCTCAATTGCATTTAGTTTTAGGGCTGTATTTTGTGCCAAATCAGGAAGACGATGCATTTGTTGACCTTCCCTTTTAACTAAGAAATATAGGGGCTAGAAACCTTAAGATTTCACTTAAAAAAAATTCTCCCCAATCTTAACATATCAAGTGGTCTGCATAAACACTTCTGAAGTGGTGAGGTGCTTGACCTTTCTGCTTTAGCAAAGGGGCATAGTCTTAAGTATCTTAAACTGGAGATGTTAAAAATTTATTAACCATGTAACTGATATAACTGTTATATGGCTAACTTCCACTGCCGGAGCTCCCGGCCCTGTGTGCCTACTGTGGCTGTCAGGGCTCCTGGGGCTGCCCAGCAGCTTTTATAAACAGTGTAACCGGTACTGGTAACTGATAAGTGTCAGCTTATCCATTAATCAGTTACCCGATTACACTCTTATTAATGCATTGTCTAGTATAGAACTGATACATGACTAGCTGACAGCAGCTGTGCAATCTCTCATTACACAAGTTGCTGTAGATATGCAAATGTAAGGAATTAATTCATTTCAGAAAATTATAAAGGTAAATAAGCTTCATAAAACGAGTGGAATTCAAAGGGCAGTCTTGCTTCTTTCTATATTGCTTTACTGCAGCAAAACCAAACTATTACAGGTGTTAATTTTTCATATAGATTGCATGCAGTAGTTCTACATACTATGATATTTTACTTGTAGATTTGGTAACCTTGGTTTTTCCTATTGGAAGAATGTCTGGTCTTACGCTGTGAGTGAGATATTGGTTGCAATTGCTGCTTATACACAGTGCTAGAGTGTAAAATACTCTAATCATCTTTGAGCTGTTTAAAGTACTGAGGAGATATGGGTAGTAGATGTCTATGGGTGACATTATTTGCAAGTCCCTAGGGCTTCATAGGACTGTGTTAGTTTGTTAAAGTAGAACATCTGATTCTTCAACAGAAGAAATTAAAATGACCTAGCTTAATTAAATTTCTATTTATGTATCTCAGTGTGCTTTCAGGCAGGGAAGTTTTGCTATATATTCTCTTGTTGGAAGGTGAAAGGCAAGAAGACGCTCACCTTTGTCAATTCTAGTCTTTATATTTGCTGCGCTAAGAAATTTTAAGATTATATTTCTATAGAACTCTGAGAGACTTCAAGGCTGTCTCATTTTAATTTGTTCGTGTATATGGACAACGCTCAGTCTCTTAATAATTTATATGGTTTTAATTCTGGATTGTTGTTACAACCTGCCAAATATCAGGAAAATATTAGTAAAAAGTTGACTCTTGTGTTTTTGTCTAATTGTACTGCTGCTTAGATACTGCACATTCAGTTTCTAAGTAGGAAGAATAAAGCAGGTTCTCTGTGGACGTGCATGTTTTGTCAAATTAAAAATTTGTTTATCATTCATGAGTGCATTAATCTTGTGGTGTTGTTACCTTTTCCTTGCTTATCTCTCCATTTATCTCTTTCAATCTTTTATTCACAGTTTGCTCACTTCAGACAGCGAAAAACAAAAAGTGACAACACGCAGTCGCAGAAAAAGGCGGCGAAGAGGAAGGGTGCGTCTGACCACCCACATGATGCTGTAAAGGAAGAGTGCATGATAATGGCCCAGGATTCTGATGTTCTTACAGACCTTGATATAAGTCTGAAGAATAAGACTGAAGAGACAAAGACACAATTTGAGACTAAGGTAAGTCTTCCTATTCACCATGTTTAATCTAAATCTTTCTGCAACTAACAGATTGTTCTCTGAGCTCCCATATATGGCCAAGTCTACGATGAGGGAGAAAATTAATGCAAGATACACATCTCCAGCTATGTGAATTGTGTAGCTGAAGTCAATGTTCCTTGTAACCATTTTCTGAGGCAGCCCCACAGCAGGAGGTTGACTGGAGAAACGCTCCTGTCGACTTCCTTTACTCCTCATGACAGCTAGGAGTGCCTCTCTTGACAGGAGTACTGCTATCCATGGGTACCCTCAACATTTAATTTAGCAGGTCTTTACTAGACACACTAAATCGAACCCCAGAAAATCAGTCATCAGAGTGTAGATCCTCCAGCAAGTGAAGACAAGGCCAATGTGGTTGCCATGCATGATGTGTCTGTGCCCTCTATACAGAAGCTGTGAGGCTTTTCTCTAGCAGTGACCACAAGGACCTGGACCCTGCATGCTCTTGCACTTCCTTCACTGAAGACCATAAAAGGCAGACCAATCCCTGCCACCAGCCAGTTCCTGCTGTTTACTTTGACAGAGAACTGAAAGTTCTTAATGTCCCTACATCTTATGTAGATAGTTTGATAATAGTCACTTAGATTTTAGTCTTTGTTTTGTTGCACATTGGTTTACGAGAAAAGTAGTTTTGTAGGTAGTAAGTAGCTGTACTATTGTGTTTCAGATACTCACTGGGCATCATAGCTTGTCCATTGTGTGGAAGAGTGATTGTGCTGGAAAATGGACATGTGTGCTTATATTGTTACAGAGAGCCATGTGACTTCTAAATGTAATATTTGTATGATATTAAAAAACACACAGACATTTAGAGTCTGGGCTCAAAGTTCTCCTCCTGGAGAAATCAGAGAGCAGCTTGTAACTTTGAGTTTCTAATATGGCCCCTTGCTGCTCCAGCCATCCCCGGAATGTTCTGAAGGAAAGAGAAATCCCTCACAGCCATCAAGAGGCCAAGAGGCTTCTCAAATCTGGTAGCCCCTTGCACATCAGAAGAAGATCGCTGTGGAATAGTCAGAGATCCCTCTTGCCTCTGAGCAAGAGACATTCTATTGGTACTGAACCGAGTCTCTGATATTTCATAAGAAGCCTGAGAAGCAAGCACCAAAGTGCTTTGGTGACATAGAGGCTACATTCAGTGATGCTGGCTGTTGAATTGTTTTCCAGTCCAGAGGGCTTCTTTTGCACTTGCTTTACTTTGGATGACACACAGTTGTTACTCCTCTCCCCTTCAAAATGCTTGGTATTGGTATCTGATATCCCAAGGAATCAACATTAGACATCAGAGTCTCACTCAGTTCTCAAGGCAATACCTGGGTCATCCTTTTAACAGTCTTAGAGAACATGATTATACCAGAGCATAAATCTTTTCTTTGCTGCTTTTTCTATCTTAGTTTCCCTAAAATTTTAAATGCAACAGGAGCCCAGGCTTCCTTTATGAAAATCTAATTATGGCCTGCTGCTATTGATTGTTCCACTTCCTGAGTACTCTCTGCTAGAGTACATTGTCATCTTCATTAGCTGAATCTTGCTTGGAGCCTTCCCTAATATCTGCTTAAGTCTCATGAGAACTTTTCTTCTTGGGATACAGTGTTAGTTCAGTTCATGAGACTGTATTACATGTGTGATGTCAGTACCTTGGGATGCTGTGTCTTAACATGGTTAATATCCATATGGGTGTTATATTCCAATTCAACAATTTTTCCTTTCCACTTCAGGATTTTCCTTTGCCTTCTCTTCCCCAAAGTCTATGGTACTGAGTATACAGAAACCTCTTTCTTAAGAAGTGGAGGAGCAGTTTCAGGATGAATCTTTATTAGCTAGACAATTTTCATCTTCTGAAAACAGTGTGGTATTTTGTTTCTAGGGCAGTAGATAACTTATTGGCTTTTCAAGAACTGTTAGAGAAGATGGCAGAAAACTTAGAAATTCCCCTGGAAATATTGCAGCAGAGGTCATAAACTTTTTGATAGCCTTCTACCTGAAATAGGGTAGCCTTATCCTAATGGAGTATTCTTGAGCCAGTTAACAAACTGAGGGCAATCCAAGTGGGCTGATTGGAAATATCTTATGAGAGACTTGGTATCATATATATAGTAGCCCAATGTGTGACACTCTGTAACGGTGTAACATTTTCTGTTGGCTCTGTAACATCCTTTGCCTCCTGCTGTAGAGCTCAGCTGACTTCTGCGCCGCTCAGCCGGGCCGACGTGCAGGAGCAAGTGGTGCAAATGGCCGTTTAGGCTCCGTGGTCCCCATGCAGCATGTGTGCTGCTTGCTCCCGCGCTGCAGCCCGGCTGAGTGGCGCAGAAGTCAGCTGAGCGCCACGGTGGGAGGTGAAGGGGAGCTATGCAGTGACGTACACGGCCAGGGGCGGGGCCTGGATGAGCGTGCATCCCCGACGGAGGCAGAGGGGAGGGCAGAGGAGACGGAGGAGAGGAGAATGGAGGAGACAGAGAGGAGGCGGAGGCAGAGGGGAGGGCAGAGGAGACAGAGAAGAGAGGAGAATGGAGGAGACCGAGAGGAGGCGGAGGAGAGCTGAGAGAGAGGGGAGGCAGGAGGAGGAGGAGGAGAGAGACGGAGCAAGAGACCGGAGGCTCAGGAGAGAGGACCGGGATAGAAAGGGAATAAAAGTCAGCTGAGCGCCACGGCGGGAGGTGAAGGAGGGCAGGGCAGTGACGTACACGGCCAGGGGGCGGGGCCTGGACCAGTGTGCATCCCTGATGGAGACAGAGAGGAGGCGGAGGAGAGCAGAGAGAGCGTGAGAGGCAGGAGGAGGGGGAGAAGAGAAAGAGTCAGAGAGAGAGAGGCAGGAGGCGCAAGAGGGCTGAGAGAGAGAGAGAGAGAGACAGGGAGGCAGTAGGAGGAGGAAAAAGAGAGAGATGGACGGAGGGAGAGACCAGAGTCTCAGGAGAGAAGACCAAGATAGAAAGGGAATAGGATGTGGAGGAGAGACCCGAAAATCCCATCTTATGACGGGCTATTAGCTAGTTTGAGAATATTTGTATTTCTCTGGCTCTATTGCTACTGCTAGCCACTGTGGTAAATGAAAAATCTAGGCAGGCTTTGAGATCTGCCTGAGCTCAGAAGAGAGAACACCAAGAAAATCCTGGATCTCTCTGGGACAAAGATTTACACCTCTACTTCCCTTCAGGTCAGTCAACATGGTTTGATAAATTGAAAATCTAAGTATGATTACATCCAAGGGGACAAATTGGCAAAATTTTAGGATCATCTTTTAATTCTATAGGAAAAATAATTGACTTCCATTTGCTCTGAAGGAATGTTGATTGGAAAAACATCTCCACTAGAGATGTCAATAGTTAACTAGTAAGCAGTACCAGCCCAGCCAGGCCATAGTGCGGGGGATGAGGTACTCTAGCTGTGGATGGGAGGGGTGCTTCAGCCCCTGTGGGCCAGCTAGACTGTGCCCATGGTTAATCAGTTAAATATAATGTTTAACTGGTTAACTGATTAAACAAGATTTTACATCCCTTATCTCCACAATCAGCATTAGACTGCCGCAGATGCGGGGGCATGGTCAATGGCAACTGGAATTGTCATGAGAAGATTGTCTTGGGTCATGACAACTGCACTTGTCTTCCTCTTTGGTAGTACAGTGAAGGCACCCACACTAGGCTCAGTTCTCCTTGGCTGTCACCTCTTTTTGGGTAGAGATCTGCTTGACTAGTTTTTTTTTCCAAGCTAAATAATTCCCTGCTTCAACTGTGAATTCCCAGCCAACTAAAATGCTGAAGCAGATTTGCTTTTCTTTCCTCTTCAGCTGCTATAAATAGTGTGATTTTCCACAGTTATAAGTTACTTCATGGCTCTAAGCAAGCGCTGGTTGGAATTAGCGTGATCTCAGGTAAACTTAACATGTAAGTTCTTCTTAATATATATTTTTTGTAGTGTTTTCACCTTAAGAATGTGCTTTTCCACAGTTAGACATTATTTCATAGCTCTAAGCAAGTACATTCTTAAGGTGAAAACACTACAGAAAAATATGTATTAAAAAGAACTTACATGCTATGAAGTTTACCTGAGATCACACTAATTCCAAACAGTTCTGTTGCAGATGATCAGTTCTTCAAACCCAACCAGGGCTAATTCTTCTTGTCAGAAGTTTGTAAGAGTTGTTAGCTCAGAAAAAGCATATTCGTGAATAGGCCATGTTCTTCCAACCTTTCCAGGAACTATTAGGGCTTTCCTTGAACAGAAAAGGTACTGTCTGTTTTTTAGAAGATAAAAAGCAAGCGCTGCAGTAGTTTAAACTTAGTCTTTTTATCCAAAGGTCCTTTCTTTGTCAGTTCTCTAGAGAATCCATTTTGAAACCGTATATCCAAACCTCTCTAGTTAAACCTCTTGGGAAATGTGACAATCTGAGTGAATTTGCCTAACCGTTGTCCACTGTTGTTCGTTCCTGAAAGGCTGTGGTCTCCCTTCCCCATGGAATAATATAATCTATGGGCCACACCAGTACATAATCATAATTCAGTAAGGCTTGTTCAGGAAATTACCATATCTATCTCAAAGATTTTGGCTCTCCTTGTTGGGTCTGGCTTGAAAGGTCCAGACTACAATACAAGACCTGCCTTTTGACAAGCAAGATCTTTTTAGTACTAAAATAGATTATACTTACTCTTTGCAGGATTTAAAACCAACATTAAGATTGTTGAGCCTCTATACTCAGTCCTTCAGAAGAAAGTAGGAGGGAATGATGTTAATTACTGTTTAAAAAAATTAACCTGTGTTGCGTGGTGGGTGGGGAGGTTGCTCCAGCCTCATTGGCCAGGAGCAGGAAGCTTGATTCACCACTGCTTCTGATTGCAAAAAGAAGAGAGAGGAGTCCTATTCTGGATCTCAGGCTACTCTACGCTTACATTCATTGCATCAGATTTTGTATGATAACTCTTTATTTATGCCCTGTCTGGATCACATGGACTAGATTAGTACTCTCAATT